GAATGGGTCAGCTCGACCGGAGGAGGACCACGCTGTCACAGAATATTAGCGTAAAATAGTAGCTTAAACCTTTTTTACTGAAAAGAGGCATATTAGACGTAGTTTATATATATATATATATATATATATATATATATATATATATATATATATATATATATATACAAGAATTGCTCGTTTAAAGGTATAGGAATAAATAACAAATTTAAAAAAGTTTACTTATTTCATAAAAACCGGCAAATTTATAGGTAACCTAATAAAAACGGGCACTTACATTTTATCTAGAGCTGAAATGATGAACTGTAGACTTATTTCAAATAATAAAGTAGAAAACACAAATTTAATTATTGATAAATAAATAAAATTTTCACTCATTTTTTTAACCAAAAAGGAGGCAGAGAGCTTTTCGTTGTTATTTTTGGAAACAAAACAACAAAGAATACATATTTTTCCTATCAGAATAATTCAGTAACTTATATTTCACAGAAACTGTCGCAGAAACTGCGCCTGAAATGTTCAGCCTTACATATTTTGGGTTATTTATTTATTGCAGATACCTTTATTTCGAATATAATTACGTCACACGGTATACGATACGATGTAGGTGATTACATTATTATATTTTTTTTTTGTTATCAAAATACAATTAAATCTTTTTGTAATGAAGTAAAACCTGACTGTTGTTTAGACCACAGGATAGAGAGTTTTGTATAGATTTTATAATGTCAATTTTCTTCATAGAAAAGTTGTCACTAAATATAAGTTTTAATGGTTTTAAGTGCCGTGGGTGGGTGGGTCCAATGCGACCGCTCCAGATATGCCAGGTGCATGCGATTGCATAGGAAATTTATGGGGATTGAAGGGTTAAGCCGCTACAGTGAAACTGGATTAGACTTTTATATTACGAGAAAAGTTATAAACATGAACATACATTATCAATTGCGATAACACGGCGGCAGCTTTGTGTCAATATAGAATTAACTAAAATTTTACAAAGTACACTAAGAATCCATGGAGCGTCTAATAATATTATTCATTAATACATAGCCCGAACCCCTTCACGTAATCCAAACTATTGAGTCAGCGTCTCTTTAATGGGATTTACTGTAAATGGACCATGAGTACCCTTTACAATTGAGTTATAGTTCAGCACAAAGTAAAAGCCTTTTACACATATACATTAATTCCATAGATCTTTTTACAACCTTAAAGATTTTTAACATTCATTTGGTTTTACGGTTTCATAAAAATACATAATAGCAATCAAATATCACAACGATGGAACAGAAAATTCTTATCCAGTTCAAAGAATAATGGTACTCTGTTTTGAAATTGAATTTTCCAAAATTTTTTTTTCTTTTCTAAAGTAACTGAAACGAAAAATAAAATAAGATGGGGTGGGGGGAAAGTTTGGTTAATATCGTAAAATTTTTTAATAATATTTAAACAGTGAATTGTAGAAGGTGTGTAAAAGTTACTAACGTGGCGGAGCTACATCTATGTGTAATAATAATAATAATGTCCTCCAGACCGAATTTAGGCCACGGCGGCCTGCCTCAACGGAGGCTAGCCATCGGCGCAGGATTATAATGCCCAAGTGTACTCTCTATTCCCTTCGTATTGTTATCTACAAGGGACTACTCTTATTTATCCCATGCAGGTTCGGACCTCGGGGAGTTCCCCGTTACCCGGGTAATCCTCACAGCTCATTTCTATGGGCCGGTCTTGGGAGCCGTACATTGTACGACATTGTAGGCAATCTTCTTTGGCGTATTGCGCGCCACCACAGGTAGGTGCTACCGGAGGGTCAGCAGTCTCGAAGCCCCGCGGAGTCCCGAGGACAAGGAGTCGACGCAGGGCCAATACTGCCGACAGGTGTGCGCTCCTGATAGCAGCACTCCGGGCCACCAGTGCTCCCTCCTGGCTCTAGGTAAAGGCCTGATGGATCCCTAGGCAGAAGTTGGCATATCTCGCGCCTCTGGGAAGGGATCCGCCGAAGGATCAGCAACCTCCAGGTCCCACGGAGACGCATCTCGACGCGGAGCCGAAGTCACCAACAGGTGCGCGCTCCCAGCAGCACGCCGGGCCTTCGGAGTTCGCTTCCCAGCATGTAGATTATGCGCAGCGTTGGGTATGTAACATCCCGGGCGGGGTCAGGGGCGTCCTCGAGGCTTGACGCAAGCCGAGTTGACCCCATAGCACGTGCACCCACTGCGAAGCGACGCGCTGTACTTCTCCCGCCCGGGCGGGAGCCGACGACCGCCGGACGTGACCGCTTGCTAGCGCGGTCCGGACGCAACTCTCCATCTCTATTCTTTCACTCTCATAATCCGATGGGACGGTAAACCGACATGACCGGAAAGAGATTAGGTGCGGGACCAACGACTTTACGTGCTTTCCGAGGCACGGGGGTGAGACACCGCCAACTTCCTGACTCCGGGCAACTACTGAGAATTTCTTGACGGAAAAACTCAATAATTAATTTTTTGGCCCGACCCGGGATTCGAACCCAGGACCTCATAAGCAGCAGTGGCACTACTACAACCACTAGACAGTCAATCAATAGTCATCTATCTATATTAAGGTTGCAGCACGAAAGCGTCGTCTCGACCTGGGAATGACTACGATCTTACAAAATACCTACGTAAAATAGCAGTATAATGCTCAGTGCTGTGTTTCATATGGTAAGTGGACCGAACACGCTTTTCCTGGTATGAGGACATTTTATCTTAGTCCTCAGGATAATAAATTAATTTATATGAAATCCCATAATGCATCCAAGTAGTCCGAATACAATAGTCGGGACTCAACAGGAAGGAGGCCTTTGCTTCAAAGCAAATCAGGTCCAAAACAAATCGAGGTAAAGGATAGAATGTATTGGTAAACCAAAAAGAAGTCTGGTAAAATACTTGACGTATTTGCATACACTTTTTTAGGTAATTTATAACATTGTAGAAAGAGAAAATGTAGACATAAGTAAAATTTACGGAAAATGACTTTTAGAAGAATTTTTAACGGAAAATAACGTCAGATTTGACGTGGCAATTTAGTGAACATCTCAAAGATGTTCACTAAATTGTTAGTAATTTATTCTCTTTGGCTCACATCTCACAAGCAATATATTTATTCATATCTTAATTACTCTGATCTAATCTGCCGTGTAGTGGCGGTTAAGAATATCCACTACCCCATATCTTCCCGTGGGTGTCGTAAAAGGCGACAGAGGGAAACAGGCAGGAGATGGGCAGCAGCATCTTCCTGATAACAGCAACTGTACGACAAAAAAAAATGCGGTTGCCAACCCGCTCGCCAAGCGTGGCAACTATGGCAATATACCCCCCCATGAACAATTACATAAATAGACGGCCCCCAGTCCCCGGCGGCCCCGCTATTCCTGGCTACGGTGGCGACCATGGTAACGGCGGGGCAGGGGGTGCTAAGAATCTCCGGTGGAGGTTCGGTTGCCACCTACGATGACTTGACCTGGCAACATTTAACGCACGCACACTGAGGACTGACGAGAAGATCCTGGAGCTGGAAGAAGAGTTAGACAAGTTGCGCTGGAGTATTATAGGATTATCCGAGGTCCGAAGAGAGGGGGAGGACACGGTGATTCTCGAATCCGTCAACTTGTTCTATCACCGGGAGGGCGATCTGTCCCAAGGAGGTGTCGGATTTATCGTCCACAAGTCTCTCGTCAACAACGTTGTAAAGATTGGGAGTGTGTCGACGAGGGTCGCGTACCTGATACTCAGAATCACCAAACGGTATTCGCTGAAGGTCATACAGAAGTACGAACCAACCTCGGCACATTCCGATGAGGAGGTGGAGAAAATGTATGAGGATATTTCCAAAGCCATGCATTCCTCCGAAACCCACTACACGGTGTTGATGGGAAACTTCAACGCAAAACGGGGCACAAGAGAAAGCGGTAAGCTGAAGGTGGGGAAATTTGGAGAAGGGCAACGGAACCGAAGGGGCCAGCAGCTGGCCGACTTTATGGAGAAAGAGAGACTCTTTATGATAACTCTTTCTTCCAGAAGCGGCCCCACAGGAAGTGGAGCTAGTCGAGCCCCGACGGTTCGACAAAAAATGAGATTTACTTCATTATGACGACCAGATGCCAACTGTTCAGTGATGTCTCAGTGATCGCAAGGGTGAAAACCGGCAGCGATCACCGAATGGTTAGAGGTACACTGAACCTAAACGTTAAGTTGGAGAGGTCTCGTCTAATGAAGTCAACGCTCCGTCCCCCTCGTGCTCTAATCCAGAATCCCGAAACCTTTCAGCTCGAGTTACAAAACCGCTTTCAGTGCCTAGAGGATTGCAATGCAGTGGTCGATATGAATGACAAGCTCGTGGAAACTGTCCATGCGGTCGGAGCTAAGTTCTGCAAGACCCGCCGCAGAAGAACACAAAAACTCTCCGATTACACTCTTAATCTCATGGCTGTTAGACGGGAGATGAGGCTGCAATCGTCAACAGATTTGAGAGCATACAGGCAACTGAACAGACAGATCTCCAAATGCATGCAGCAAGACTTACGCAACTTTAATACTGCTCGTATTAAAGAAGCGATCGAGCGGAACCAGGGCTCCAAAGTCTTTGACAGAGATCTGTCTGCCAGAAAGAGCCAACTATCAAAGCTGAAAACTGAGTGTGGCAGCATCGTTTCCGGGATACCTGAGATTTTGAGTGAGATTGAGAGGTTCTATGGGCAGCTGTACACATCATCGTTGGAGCCACACGCAAGTGTGGGTAACGACCCAAGAGCAAGTCTTATCCGACACTATTCCGATGATATCCCGGACGTCAGTCTAAGCGAGATTAGAATGGCTCTCCAGCACCTTAAAAACGGCAGGGCCTCAGGCGAGGATGGAATTACAGCGGAGCTTCTGAAAGCGGGTGGAACACCGGTACTTGAAGTCCTTTAGAAGCTCTTCAATTCCGTCCTCCATGGTGGCACTACTCCAGAGACGTGGAACAGAAGTGCGGTGGTCTTGTTATTTAAGAAAGGCGACAACGCTCTCTTGAAGAACTACAGACCGATTTCCCTTCTGAGCCGCGTCTACGTGCTGTTTTCGAGAGTCATTACGAATCGTCTCGCACGCAGACTCGATGACTTCCAGCCTCCCGAACAAGCCGGTTTCCGAAAAGGCTTCAGTACCATAGACCACATACATACCCTGCGGCAGATTGTACAGAAGACTGAAGAGTACAATTTGCCACTTTGCCTGGCGTATGTGGACTATGAGAAAGCCTTTGATTCCGTCGAAATTTGGGCGGTGCTGCAGTCCCTTCAGCGGTGCCAAGTTGACTGTCGGTATATTGAAGTGCTGAAGTGTTTGTACAGTAGGGCTACGATGGCTATCCGAGTACAGAACCAGAGCTCGAAACCTATCCAACTGCAGAGAGGTGTAAGACAGGGTGACGTTATATCCCCGAAACTCTTCACCGCTGCTTTGGAAGACGTTTTCAAGTTACCGGACTGGAAAGGATATTAACATCAATGGCGAGTACATCACTCACCTTCGATTCGCCGACGATATAGTCCTTATGGCAGAATCGTCCTGCTGGTTTATGAACATGGACAACAATCATGGCATCATCACATCTTCTCGTCAGGTATACCTCAATCTCTGAAAACTAAAGTGTACAACCAGTGCGTGTTGCCAGTGGTGACTTACGGATCAGAGACGTGGTCCTTCACTGCTGGCCGTATGAGGACGCTCAAGGTTGCTCAGCGAGCTATGGAGAGGGCTATGCTCGGAGTTTCTCTGCGTGATAGACTCAGAAATGAGGATATCCGCAGTAAAACCAGAGTGACCGACATAGCCCAACGGATTAGTAAGCTGAAGTGGCAATGGGCCGGCCATATAACTCGAAGAACCGATAACCGATGGGGAAGAAAGGTTCTCGAGTGGCAGCCTCGTACCGGTACGCGTAGTGTAGGGCGACCCCCCACTAGATGGAGTGACGACCTGGTAAGATATGCAGGAAGTCGATGGATGCAGGTGGCTCAGGACCGTGCTTTGTGGCATTACTTGGGGGAGGGCTATGTTCAGCAGTGGACTTGTGAAGGGCTGTGATGATGATGATGATGATATCTTAATTACACCCTATCAAAGTCCGTCGCTGAACATAGGCCTCCCCATAGATTGCCTTATAAAGGGGATATTTTCTATAGCTGCCACACTTGGCAGACGAGATAGCAACCGCAGTTTCTTTATAGGAAGACGGTGTTGCCCATCTGCGGGTTTGTTTTCCTTTGATACATCTTACGAAACCTAGAGTTATACACGTAGAATAGAATACACTAATTACTAACAAGTAACGGAAAAAGTCCGCCGTGCTGCCATAAAAATCCTTAAAAATATTATAATAGCAAACTTGCAAGTTACCTCATAATGTTTTCCTTAACTACGGAGAAAATTATAAAATCCCTTTGCATTAGCCGCAGAAAAAGGGTATTGTCAAAGACTCCGCTTTAGCGATGCGCGTGTCAGTTAGAGGTAATAAAACCACGTAAAACTTTGAAAATAAAACCTTTTACAAATATTTTATTTTTTTGAAGATTATATTATTTTTCTGAAGTAAAGTTATTTCTATACCCGACTTCTTAGTGAAATGCAGATGCGCTGTCTCCTCTGAGGACCAAGATGGAATTCTAAGCTATAAAAGGGTCTCAGGTTCTCTACACTCATCATAATAATGTCCTCCAGACCGAATTTCGGCCACGGCGGCCTGCCTCAACGGAGGCTATCCATCGGCGCAGGACAGGATTATAGTGCCCAAGTGTATGCGCAAGCACAGGTGCACTCTCTATTTCCTCACTCTCATAATCCGATGGGACGGTAAACCGACACGACCGGAGAGAGATCAGGCGGAGGACCAACGACTTTACGTGCTTTTCGAGGCACGGGAGTGAGACACCGCCAACTTCCTGACTCCGGGCAACTACTGAGAATTTCTTGACCGATATCTCAATAATTAATTTTTTGGCCCGACCCGGGATTTAAACCCAGGACCTCATGATCAGCAATCGCACTACTACAACCACTAGACCAACGAGGCAGTCAACGTACAAAACACAACAACATTTAAATTTCTATTTCACGCTGGTATTCTGTGAAAGCATGGTCCTTCCCCGATCGAACCGACCCATTCGTGGTACAACCATAATATAGCTCGTGGCTCTATCATGTTTACGGTTAAATTAGTTATTACAACGAATAGCGCCTGTATTAATTGCAACGCTATGTAGTCGCTCAAAGCTACCTCATTTATTACAGGCGTCATCCGAGAGGCAATCAGGGGACAAATTGCGAATTGCGATGTAAATTTTGTAGACGGCTCATATTTATTTTTGATTTTATGGCTCGTTATAAAAGCAAATGATGTGGGTTTACGAACAGCTTGATTAGTTTGCCCTTCATATTTGAGCCATTATATTTAATATGTTATATGATGGCACCACCACGATTACCAACATTAAATAAATGATTTATTTAAATGTTCATTCTTTGTTATATTTATGTTTCGTTGGTGTACAATAAAGATTATTGTATTATGTTGTATAGTATTGTATTAATTTAACAAAAAACACAAGCACATTTATGTAATGTAAAATATCTTTTAATTTTCTACATTAGCATATAAAAGCGCACTGCTGGATATACGCTTCTCCTGTTGCTCCCTACAATTGCTTTGCGTCCGGCATTGATTCTCCTGCTGGCGGATTGACGATCGCATTACCAGATCTCTCGCACCATTGACGCCGCTGCGCCTTAATGATTACAACGCCATCTTTCGGAAGCCATAAGATTTTTATGACTACTATGAAGCTATAAGATATTTAATATAGCTGCGGTTCCTTGCTGGTTAGCAGCAGAAACAAGTATGAGGCTAGTCCAACTCATACGGATTACTAGGTAAAAAAATCCTTAAAAATGCAACTGATCTATTAGAATCCGAATTTATTTTTATTAATGCTACATTATGACAAATTTAATTATAACATTTATACGTGGTAGAGCCACGCTGTAGCTATATTATGGTTGTAGCGCGAATGGGTCGGCTCGACCGGGGAAGGACCACGCTTTCACAGAACACCAGCGTAGAACAAGACCTTAATGCAGCTTTTTTATATGGGGAAAAGGTGACAAGCGAGCACACAGTCCACCTGATGGTAAGTGGTTGCTGTGGCCCATAGACATCTACATCTATCCTCGTTTGCGAATCAAAATGAAGATGCGTTTTCAGCCTTGAGGACTAAGATGGAATGCCTCTTTTCCAGTAAAAAGAGTCTCCGGTTCTCTACTCTCACCATACGAAACACAGCAGCATTAAACTGCTATTTGACGCTGGTATTCTGCGAAAGCGTGGTCCTTCCCCGGTCCAACCCATTCGTGCTACAACTGTACTACGTAAAAAGTGTACTCTACTACTTAAAAAGCTGTGTTTCGTATGGTGAGTGTAGAGAATCGGATACTCGTTTTACTGGAAACGAGTCATTCCTTCTTAGTCCTCGTTTGATGCTGTGGTCAAATGGAATTGTCACCATTTGACCACAGCATCAACTTACCATCAGGTGGACTGTGTTCTCGTTTGTCTCCCTTATTCTATTTTAAAAAAATCCATTATAATATTTTAAACGAAGATATTTTAGAATTCATAGTGTAACCAGCACACTGTCCACCTTATGGCAATGGCAACTTGATTTTTCCTATTATATCAGAATAAGAATGCAGGTGCGTTGTCAGACTTGAAGAGTTAGATGATTTTACATATGCACCGTTACCTATAATAGAGGTGTCCGATACTCTTCACTGACTATACGAAACCCAGCAGCATTATGCTGCAATTTTAAAATGGTATTCTGTGAGCGGTCCTTTCCCGGTTAAGCCAATCTATTCGTGCTGTGGCTATGAAATAACTGATCTCATCATCATCATCTTTTAGCAATTGTCGAATAATAAAAGACACCATATAATATTAAGTGAATTTGTTGCCTAAAGGACAATGTCCAAAATCGCCCTGTTAAATAAAAGCATCGGACATACACGATAATTAATTATATAATTTATCATATTAGTTGCAAATACTTTTTAATAACACCGACTAGCTGCATGCCATAATGAACATTAAAAGTATTCTATCTGATTAGTGATATTAATCGCAGCCATTTTCGAAAAACGTCATGCGGTGTGTAAAAATGATTAGTATATATATATATATATATATATATATATATATATACTGTGTGTATGTGTGTGTAAAATACATTGATTTCTACTTATCGTCACTGGCATTTTTACTCAATCCCCACGTAAAAACTTTTATTTCTTATAAATCAGTGCAGAGATCTAACTTTTATTACATAAAAATTATGATAAACAATATATAGGCAAACATTATATCGACAAAATTATTCGCGGATATACATTTACAGCACTGGTATAATACGCCTGTATTGTCACACTATAATTCAAAAAATAAACCTCATGACTTGATGTTGGTATCTTACCGTAGCTTGGCGCCCTTTCATACATTTACTTTTACTAAGGGTACGTACTCTTTGTTATGCATATGCAACGAAAAGTGTATTTTGTGTAAATTGCGGCTCTGCTGGTTGTTTTATGTTATTGGTACCAAAAACTGAAAAACTTTTCTGTTTCTTAAAAATTCTACTAAACGATAAAAACCATAATATTAGTAGTTCTATTATAGCATCAAAATCTGATACTTTTTTTGGAACTTATTTTTTGCAGCTAGTCCGCTATAAAAATAAGGTAATAATATTTTATATTACGGTTGTAGTTGCAGCATAAGTTGGCTTCGAAGGGAAGGACTATCCTTGCACAGAATAACTGCTTGTAAAAGCATCATAATGTTGTTTAGTTGGTATACCTGCATTTAGTAGCATATGCAATTTGATTTCAAATCGAGGTATGTGTATACTATGTTGTATCATATGGTCTGTGTACTCACACTTATTTCTATAAAAAAACCCTAGTTTTGCAATCCGATATTAATAAATACCAGTTTAAGCGCTGTAAATACCGTTCTATAGAGTTAATATATTTTTATACTAGCTTGCCAGGCAGACGTTGTTCTGCCCTTTTCGAGGACCCTTTGTTATGTCCTATTAAAAATCCTTAAATTCGCAAAAAAATTGTGGGTCACTCACAGACAAAAAACTATCCTATCTTTCAAGTTGGACCAAACTGCACACGGTGTGCAAATTTGATTAAAATCGGTTAAGTAGTTTAGGAGTCCATCGCGGACAAACAACGTGACACGTAATTTATATATATTAAGATAATAAGGGTGACAAACGAGCACAAAGTTGCAAAAATCAAAATGCAGTTACTTTGTAAACTCTTAGGATTAAAATGGAATGCCTCATTTCCGGTAAAAATTATTACGTTGAGGTCCTATGTTTGACTTAATCTCAAGTAAAACTTAATTATATCTAAAGCAACATTTTAAAGACCAAAGTAAA